GCCGCCTCCTCCAGCAGAGTAGTTTAGGATTTTTAGTGATGTAAATAACATTGTTATATTTATAAAATTTTTGAGGTTTATTATTATCTGGTGTTCGTTTTTTAATTTGGGATTGATGTTTTTCTTTGAGAAACTGTTCAGGGTAAAATAAGAGGTTCTGACCTCGGATAAACAGTATAGTAATTGACTTTGGATATCCATAAGGTATACCTCGAAGACGAAGTAAAACACTTCAAAAATAAAGTGTAACTGATTAATAGGATTATAACCCTAAAAATGAAATGGCTGAATGAGTTAGAATAAATGAAACTTACTTCCAACGTATAGAAGAGTACACAGAACTGAATTACTTCGGTCGTGAGGTGAAATTTATTAATGAATTGAGTTAAAATACACTCTAAATTGAGCAGAAGGAGTGAAAGTAAGAATTATCAAAGTTCACTCGAATGAAGTATACTTAAGGGTAAAACTTCTTCAGGTTATTAACATTCCAGACTCTGGGAACCCGTTTGCCTTCAGTGTCCCGTAGGATGTAAGCACCGGGGTGCGGCACTTCGGCGACAGTATAGGGGCCTTCCCAGTTTGGTGCTAATTTGCCGAATCGAGTTTCGAACCCCGTTAGACCAGCTTTCCTAAGAACAAGGTCTCCTACTTTGAATGATCGGGGCCGAACTCGTTTATTGTAGAAGTTCGCTATTTTCTGCTTGTAGACTAGAGTTCGAAGTCGTGCTTCTTCTCTGAGGTCATCAAGCAAATCAAGGTTCTCCCGAAGCAGTTGTCCATTCCGTCCTTCATCGAAATGGGTGACTTTGAAGCTTGGAACTCCTATCTCGATAGGAATGACTGCTTCGGTTCCGAAGGCCAGATGATATGGTGTTTCACCTATTTCAGTGGATTATAATTTTAGAATACGCTTTACACGTTATGCATATTTGCCCTACGGTAAAATCGTAGCAGAAGGAGTAGAGTAATATAAATTTAATCAAATAGGCCAGGTGTAGAGTAATACCTGTAGTAGTTCGACTCGTAGTTCTGTATGCCCAGAGGACGTTGTTGAGCTCGTCTGCCCACTTGGCCTTGTGTTGCTCCAGCCTTGGCTTTATACCTTCCAGGATACACTTGTTAACAGATTCGACCATGCCGTTGGACTCCGGATGGTAAACCGAGGTGAACTGCAACTTAATCCCGTAGCTGGAACAGAAATCTCGAAAGGAGGTGCAGTTAAATTGAGTTCCATTATCAGCCACAATCTGATTCGGGATCCCATATCTGCAGATGATTGAGCTGAAAACAAAGTCTTCAACCTTCTTAGAAGTAAGACTGGATAACGGCCAAGCTTCAACCCACTTTGTGAAGTAATCTACACCAACAATCAAGTGGGTTACACCACCAACCCCCTTCATGAATGGACCCAAAAGATCCAATCCCCACTGAGCGAATGGCCATGGTGCTACCAGAGTAGTGAGCTCTTCTGCAGGCTGGTGAGTTAGGTGTGCGAAGAACTGGCATTTCAAGCATCTCTGAACAAAGTGAGTGGCATCCTTGTACATGTTGGGCCAATAATAACCCTGTCTAAGGACTTTATGAGCCAAAGTTCGAGCACCCACGTGACTTCCGCAGACACCTTCATGCACTTCTCTAAGTGCATATTCTGCTTCATAGGGATTCAAGCACCGTAGAAGAGGTAGAGAGAAAGATCGCTTATAGAGGATCCCATCAACAAGTGTATAGCGAGATGCTTTCCTTCTCAACTTCATTGCCTCCTGCCTGTTCTCAGGTACTACCCCGTCTCGTAAGAAGGAGAGGATTGGGTCAATCCAGTTTGGTGTGCCTGGATCGGTGCTGATCTCCATGACCCGTGGCTTCATGAAGCTCGGTTCATCTAAGACCTCCACAAAAACTGATCTGGAATGTGAAGAACTATCAGAGGCGAATTTAGAGAGTGAATCTGCCTGTTCATTCTCCGTTCGGGGGATTTTACTCAGACAGAATTTCTGGAATTTGCACCTCAGCTCAGTTACCAGAGCTACATATTTCACCATCACAGGATCAACAACTTCACAGATTGAGTTAATTTGGTTCACCACCAGCTGGGAGTCACTGTAGACTTGGATCGCACTGAGTTTTAACTCCAATGCTAGCTGCAGGCCTAGCAGCAGGGCTTCATACTCAGCCATGTTATTTGTTGCATCGAAGTTAAATTTCAAAGCATGTTCACTTCGGTATCCATCTGGGCCGATCAAGAGAGCACCGGCTCCTGAACCTTTGCTACTAGATGCTCCGTCAACATATAAGGTCCAGTCAGTGGGCTCCGAAGTAGGAATGGAATTACCTGGTGTGCACTCTACAATAAAATCTGCCAGTGCCTGAGCTCGGATTGCAGATCTCTGGTGGAATGTTATCTCAAATTCCCCCAGTTCTACTGCCCATTTAATTAACCTTCCAGAACACTCAGGCTTTTGCAGAATCTGCCGAAGGGGTTGGTCTGTAAGAATAATGATTGGGTGCGACTGAAAATATGGCCTCAACTTTCTGGCCGAAGTGACGACTGCTAAGGCTGCTTTCTCAGCTATAGGATACCTCAACTCGGC